TGAGCTACTCGACTCGTTCGAAAACAAAGGGCTCATGGAATCATAAGCTCATGGAATCATGGGCTCGAGTAGCTCAGTTTTTCGACCGGAGCTGAAAAAACCTTTTATTTTTTATTTTGCTTTAATTTGGATGAAGGATTTTTGTGGCTTTTTATGCAACGGCAATATCTTAAGATCAACTCGATTTAATATGTTGTCCTCTTCAACAATTATCTTTGTTAAAAATTAAAAAATAATGAAGCGTTTCTCCGCCCAAGAATCGCTAAAAATAAATAGCTACCCTCGATGGACCGCAATTTTATTTTAACAGTTTGCCAAAAAAAATTTCTTGTTGACCATAGTTTTCTTGTAACCGTCTCTTCTTTTTGTTGATTTTTAAGAAATCGCGGTCCACCGAGGATAATTATTTTGCTGCTTCTTCTAGTGAATAATAAAACGTTTCTCCCCCCAAGAATCGCTAAAAAAAAAATTACCCTCAATGGACCGCGATTTCTTAAGAGTTTGCTAAAAAAAAGTACTGGCGGTCGGCCATGATTCTCTTATAATCGTTTTCTCTTTTTGTAAATAAAATGGAAATGACATTGCCCTTGGAGCTATTTCTGTTCGAATAACTTGAGCTGTTTGTTCGGTTTGTTTTTTTGACATGAGCTACTCGAGCCAAACTGTTTGAAAGGGCTCTTGGAATCATAGGCTCATGGGAGGAGCTCTTACTCGATGATTCTATGATCCCATGACCTATGATTCCAAAGTCACAAACAAACAACTCAAGCTCAAGCTCAGAGCTGTTTTAAACTCTACTTGTGCAGGGCTCTAATATACACATATGTCTTAACATAAAACAGAATTGCTACTCAAAATCTATAAAATTAACTTTTGAGTATTTAATCAGTTTCATTTTACTGTTCACTGTTAAACCTCAATAGGTCCCCAATTGATCTCTGTGTTTCTCTCCGCCTTCCTCTGTTTTAGCCACGTTTGCCTTTTGGGGCGTATTGAGCTGCAGGGGGGCAGGGCAAACATTTCCAGCTTATTACTTTGATAGAAAAGTAAAACCAATGAACCTTTCACATTAGATAAGACAGCCAGCCTGTTTGTCCTCCTGCGGAGTAGCTTCCATATGTGAGTGCCTGTGTGGCTGTGTGAGGATGGGATGCCGATGCCCGATGGCCCAGTGTGAGTGAGTATCTGTGGGGGCCAGGATGAATGGCTGGGCATGAATGAATGACTGGCTGGCTCTGGCCGAAGGCAAACATTGCTGGGCGGCGAGCATTGAAATTTAGCTGAGATAGTGTCCTTACTGATTGCTTCCTGCAGTGCCCACCAGAGGAGGGTCCTGTCCTCGGATCCCGTGCCCCCGTGGCCACGCCCTCTTTGGCCGCCGCCTCCCTCCTTTTCGGGCCAAGTCGGTCTTCCTGCATTTGCTGCTTCCGCTGCCACTTGATTGTGTGCGTCGAGTTCTTTCCTGCTCCAATGTCTTCTGTCACATCTATCTAGAAAGTTTCCTTCGTTTTGCCCGCTCAAAAGAAAACTCCAACTGTTTGTCCTTCGCCAGCAGTTCCCCGGCATATCAAACATAATGGGAATAGATTTCAAAAACTTTTAGCCAGCGACACAGCTAGTGTGTTGTATAATGGCGCAAATGATGTGTTTACACTATCATATAAATGTCACGTGCAATGGCGTCCTTTGTTTGCCGCTGGACACATGCTTTCCTCAATTTATGGCCTCCCGTTCTCGTCCCCGTCCTCACAAAGGATTACTTGGCCGAAATGGGTGGCAAAAGGAGTCGGTAGTCCTTGGGCGGCGGTCGAGGTAATTACCCAGCCAGGTGTTTCTCTGCTACTTTGTTATCTCTTATCTGCGCACACACACAGGCGATGTTTCCATATAGCAGGATAGCAGAAGCTGCATGTGCAGCAGGAGATGAACTTCCTCTTAATGGGATTCTCCGAGTGGCAACCGCAACAAGCTGCAGAAAAAGCTCTGATGCGATAAACGAAGCGAAGGAAATGAAACTCTCCGGCTGGGGGAGAAAATCATGGCAGATACGTCTGAGGTTCAAGTGAAGGACTCCGCACCAACTATCCTGCGAAAGGACACCCCATCATATTCACAAGCAGTCCCTCCGGAAATTGAGCACCTTTGTGGGAGCACATTCCCTTAAAAATAATTTAAGGAGTTCTTTTTAATCAGTGTAGACGGCAGTACACGAAGTAACGACGTGAAATCCCGACTACTACAAAAAACAAATTCTAAATTATTATTTGAGAGTGCGATTGTCTCTAGTTTTTATACCCGTTACTTGTACAGTAAAAGGGTATATTGTATTCGTGCAAAAGTATGTAACAGATAGAAGGAAGCGTTTCCGACCCTATAAACCAGCGGTCGGCAGCGTCCTATTAAGTGAGCATAGGAAATGGTTCTGCTCATTCTCTGCCTCTCACGTATACTGTAGAACAGCGGTCTGCACACACACACTGATAAGCTTCCCCGTGCAATTTACTCACACAAATATAAAACAAAATGTAATTGTATGAGTGTGCAGACCGCTGCTATAAACTATATATATTCTTTGTCAGGTTCACTATCCGAGTCGAACTAGCCATGTCCGTCTGTCTGTCTGACTGTATGAACGCTATGATCTCGAAGTACTCGATTATAGCGTTCTCTCTCTCCCATTTTAACGGCTAACATCACGTGACAGTCGTTTAGAAACTGTGGCAGAACTAAAGAGTTTTTCAAAAATTTGTAGAACAAATGTTTTTCGGCACCTTTTACTTACTATGATAATTTTTTTTCAAAAACCAATAACAGGCAATTGGCACGACACACAGACAAACAAAGTTTTTAGTTTCAATTTGAAAATGGCCTAAACTTTTTTAATAATTTATTACTTTTGAATGCATGGCCCAATTGTAATAAGTTTAGTTTTGTTTGACGCGCATTTTAATGCAGAGAAAATAATGCACCCAGAAAAAAAATTAAGGTCCGTGAATATGTATGGGATGCATATTTTTAAGGCCATGTATAGACTTTCTTAGACAAAATGTTAAATTGCATTTAAATTTTCTAAAACTTTTCCGATCGTTCCTATGGCAGCTATATATACATTTTTATTTTGAAGCATAGGTTATAATTGATATAGTTGTCCGATCCGGCTTGTTCCGACTTACATATATACTACCGGCAATAGATAGAACACTTTCGGGAAAGTTTCATGCCGATAGCCTAAAAACTCAGAGTCTTGTTTGCGTAGAAACGGACGGACAGACAGACGGACATTGCAAGGTCGACTCGTCAAGTGATACTGATCATGAATATATATTCTTTATGGCGACGGAATTTCTCCTTTATTGCGTTGCAAACTTCTGACTAAAATCAATATACCCACCAGTGCTGCCATCACTCAGCTTGAAAAACCGGACAGAAAAGCCAAAAAAAACAGGGAAAAAGAGGACAAAAAAGTTTAAAAAAGGACAAAAAAAAAGGACAAAAGTAAATGCGCCTCCATTTTTCTGTTTTTACCAATGGGTGATATATTTACTTAATATAAATGGATTTTATATTAAATTCAATTATGTAATGATCTATTGCGCCCGACTCACAACCTTCTTCGTTTGATCATTTTACCATGGTCAATTTTTGTGCGTATACGTAATAATCTAAAATATTAAAAAAATAAAAGCATTTCAAGTAACTATATTGGTAATACAAAAAAATTCAATATCTGCGTCAAACCCGAATAAGAGTCGTTCAAATATGAAATTTTTTTCTGACAAAAAGGCTGAGAGTAAAAATTGAGAACTTTTTAAAGTGTTTTCCTCTTTTTTTTGCTACAGAAAAAATCGTACTATAAAGAAAGTCCATCGACTGCATTACATCTCTTTGATAATTTGTAAAAAGAATTATTTTTAAAGTGCGGAACTGTAAGAATAATGGTTAAAACGGCGTTTTAGCATATAAAAGCAGGTTTATACACTTTCGACTAGCAAAAAGAACACACAAAACCTTATCTTTGAAAAAAGGACAGATTTCCGGATAGGGGATGTTTGAATTTTTTTCCGGATAAAGTCGTTAAAAAAAGGACAGATCTGTCCGGAAAGAGGACAAAATGGCAGCACTGATACCCACTGCAAGAGTATACACAATTCTTTACGCCGCAATACCCGCGGTTTCCGAAAAAAAAGTGAAGTGAGAAAATAAAATTGTTGAATTCGCAAGACCTACTAGAAAAAAAGATTTGAGTTCAGCTGTGCATCATACAAAACAAAAAATATTTAGATTTTTTCTAAGATTTGACCCCACTTCAGGCCCCTCCACTTCAGAAAAAAACTCATCACATATTTTAATATACATATTCATACTTTATTAAAAATTATTTAAAACCTAAATTAGAACAATTAGGTCGTCAAATTTGTTTGATAAAAAAAATGTATTGGATTTCATACACAGCGGCTTTATAATAGCTCTTAATTATATTATTCCCACCAGTGATAAAAATAATACCAACCTAAGCTCCATCTCCATCTCAGAGGTCTACTATAGCTGTTATAAGAATAATAATAGTCACTGTCGTCATAGTCTTCACTGACGGGGATATCCTCACATGTTGTCTCATTTTTAGCATTTGTTTTACACTTATGACACTTTTTCTCACCTTCATCTAGCCAACATGCCGTACATACCTTAGTCTTTTTTTTCTGATTTTTAATACATTTCTCAGATTTTTTTCTTTGCTCTGCTATTCTTTTTTCCTCCTTCTCTTTTTTCTTTTTGTCTTCATTCTTTCGTTCTTCTTCTTTCTTTTTTCGCTCCTCTTCTTTCTTTTGTTCTACTTCTTTCTTTTTCCGTTCCTCTTCTTTCTTTTTTTCTTCTTTTTTCTTTTTTTCTTCTTCCTCTTTTTTCTTTCTTTCTTCTTCTTTCTTTCTTTCTTCTTCCTTTCTCTTCCGTTCCTCTTCTTTCTTTTTTTCTTCTTTTTTCTTTTTTTCTTCTTCCTCTTTTTTCTTTCTTTCTTCTTCTTTCTTTCTTTCTTCTTCCTTTCTCTTCCGTTCCTCTTCTTTCTTTTTTTCTTCTTTTTTCTTTTTTTCCTCTTCCTCTTTTTTCTTTCTTTCTTCTTCTTTCTTTCTTTCTTCTTCCTTTCTTTTCCGTTCCTCTTCTTTCTTTTTTTCTTCTTTTCTCTTTTTTTCTTCTTTCTCTTTTTTCATTCTTTCTTCTTCTTTCTTTCTTTCTTCTTCCTTTCTCTTCCGTTCCTCTTCTTTCTTTCTTTCTTCTTTTTTCTTTTTTTCTTCTTCCTCTTTTTTCTTTCTTTCTTCTTCTTTCTTTTTTTCTTTTTCCTTGCTCTTCCGTTCCTCCTCTTTCTTTTTTTCTTCTTCTTTCTTCCTTTTTTCTTCCTTCCTCTTCCGTTCCTCTTCTTCCTTTCGTTTCTCTTCTCTTTTTCGTTCCGCTTCCTTCTTCCGTTGCTCTTCTTTTTCCTTTTTCTCTTTTTTTTTCTTTTCCTCTTCCTTTTCCCTTTCCTTTTGCCTTTCATCCTTAATATTAATAGTCATGTTAATATTAACATTAATATTCGTATTATTTTGAATTGGAATACTAGTAAAATTGTAACCCTTGCCCTCTAAGACTTCGCAAATAAAGTAGTTTCGGTCGTCGCACGGAAATGCGTGATACAGTCCGGCGTATAGATAAACACAGTGCGCATTGGCATCTTTTTTGGGCTCGCCCTTGTCCCATTTCAAGAATGAGGCTTCCTTCCCGGTGGCCAAAGAAATCCACTTATTCGGATCGACCAGATTGGAGTAGTCCAGCCAATACCTTTCGGGTTGAATTTTCTTGCGGATGAATGACAGTTCAGTCTCGTTGTGGGGTGACGCCAGCTTGCCGCCCATCTCACGACATTTTCTGGCTGCACTAAACCAATTCTGCCTGACATGCTTCTCGATGTAAATTAACTTTTTACCATACTTCTCGAACTTTACATTGACTGTCAGTGTCACATTCGATGGCGGAATTATTTTGGCATCCAGAGAACATTGAAGTGCGCTTCTAGCTTGGAGCAAGGATTTCTCCAGGGACATGATCTTGACATCCTGGTCCACCTTAGCCTCTAGTACCTTCAACTGACCTTCCATGTTGCTCTGCAGAGCCTTCAAATGCTTATCTCTGGCTGCTTGGTGACCCGCGATCCTGTCCAGTATTCCCTGCGTTTCATTGAGAATGCCCTTCTTCTTCTGCTGGTTGGCAATATGCTCCAGCATGGGTGATAGTTCCACCAGACACAATTCAACATGTGGATTACGTGGGTCTTTCGTCAGAATTCCAGGACACTGTTGATTCTCGATTTCAGCAAGGACTTTACAAAAACCCCATGAAACTAACGCGCACAACAAATGTGCCGCGTACTTGAACATATTGAGATTCTATAAGGAACTGGTTCTGGATTTCTTTCTGATGTCTCGAAGATTGGCAAGCTCATTTGACACACCTCTTAAAATCAAACAGCCAGAACAATCGCATTTCTAACGGGCATTAGCAAATGCTGCATGGTCATAAGTTGTAAACCGATTATAAGTTGTAACGAAGTTTATCAAAAGCTACCATCATCCTTCTTGGTGTGGTTTTCAATAATTGTTTTGTAACCTAGAGTTATAATTCTAATTATCTAATTATCAAATAGCTGGCTTAGGGCAAGGGTATAAAATCTTCTGCTTGCTAAATATAGCTTCCTTTCTGGTTTTAACGTAAAAATTATAGATGGTTAAAATATACAGATACATTTTTCTTGCATGAAAGCCCAAAAAGTCCACTAAAATGACCGAAGCCCCCAAAGGTTCGACCATTTGATTAGCCCACTTGAGGAATATTTTTAGCATGCACCCACTTACCCAGAGTAACCGAGTGGCTAATATCACAGAAAACCAGGAGGACCGGCACACAGAATTCCCTTCCACAACAATAAATTGCAGATGGAAACTTATGCCGGATCGGGTCACTTCCCAGTACTTGAGAAACAAGCAGGGAGACCGCAGAAAGCCACAAAATAGGAGCAAGCCAAAAGCAGTTGTACAGAAATATATGGCAAGTAAGAGACCACCGAGAACTCGAAAAGCAGGAAAAAAGAAGCGAGGAAGAGTCAAGCGCGCTGGGAAAACTTTAAAATGAAATGAAAATTATAAAGTAACTACAAAATCTTGATAAGGAATTCAGCTAGGGGTGTACAGTTTAGGAGGAGGAAAAACGGGGCACCGAGGAAATGGCAAAAGTCATAAAATGTCGAGTTTTACGAGTGCAAAACGCAAGGGTCTAATCTGGGTTTAGCATCAAAACTTGTTAGTGAGCGAGGGAGAGGAGGGTCCAAGCCGAGAGGCGGCTTTGGGGCACATAATAAGCAATGTCAACGCATGTGTGCAGTGGGCGTGGCCATTCCGCTGCATTTTAGCCAAATGACGGAAACATTTTTGCACTTTAGGCAAAGTGCAGAGGGCAATTTTGGGGGACAGGAGGGGAGGGGGGAACAACTAGGAAGAAGGAACAAAAATATCGCAACAATGACATTAAACGCAACTTATTTTACAACTGACTTTACCCCTTCCCTTCGTCTTAGCAACAAAAACATTTGCATGCCGCCTGCCCCAAACACGCAACTTTGTTGTCAACTCTTTCTCCCCCTAGTTGCCGCTTAAATGCCGCAACTAAATAACTTTGAGTGTCTTTTGAGTGGCCATTAGTAGCGGACTTAGCGAGGACTCGACTAAGTGGGTCTGCCGCCATTGTTCGTTTGTTTAGAATTTATGTATGCTATGTAGTATGTGCGCTTAAAGTCAGTCCGAATGGCCTGTGGTTGCCGGAGTTTTGCTACCTGGAGTTTTCAAACAAGTAATAATGGTGTGGCTCAGTTCCGCAGGATAAACTTGTCAGATTCTTCACCTCGGCTTTTAAGCATATGTAGGTGAAAACTGATGATTTTGTGCTATAAATAATGCCTTTTTCCAAAAGGTTAGTTCTAAGAAAATTGATTTTGGAGGCACTTCCAATTCGTGGACATAATATTCTGAACAGGAACCTTATTTGATTCAAAAGTGTTAGAAATATTGAACAGACAAGTTAGGACTAATTGTGCAATGTGGCATCGAAAAACTATTTTTTTAAGGTTTGGAAGAAGTATCAAATATTAATATATTGGTCAAAGAATGGAAAGAATTTTGGGCTATTTGCCTCTTAAAATGGAATCTTGTAATTTGTATTTAACCAGAAAAAAACAGCAAAGAGACAAAAACATTAGCACTAAGTCCTTAAAAAGAGGATCAAGGACGGGTGGTAATTTTATAATATCAATATTTTTCGGTACTAAGACGTATTTACTGTTTAGTAATGCTTCCTTGGATGCATTCAATCTTCCGTAGCATAAAAATGCTCACTATGTCTCTCATCATTCAACCATAGAGCAACCATTTTAAGTTAACAAAATGGATAAGTTTCTTGTCGCTCCTCGCAGTGTTTAGATTAAATTAAAAGTTATAATTTGTAACTAATGCCAATTTTGTATCCCACTTTCAGGGCCGTCTTCATAGCCGACCAGCGATTCCTGGCCATCAAGCAGCCGGACAAGTACTGGACCCTGCAGATCAAGTATGTGCAGGCCCGGGATGCCGGGTCCTACGAGTGCCAGGTCTCCACGGAGCCCAAAGTCAGCGCGCGTGTCCAGCTGCAAGTTGTGGGTAAGTCAGGGCCAAGACCAAGGCCGTGAACACGAAGCGCTGGGGCTTATGAATATGAGTTCGCACTCAGACACTGGGCTCTAAATGAGTTGGAGCGTGTAATTTCCGGGCGGCAGGGCGGCGGGGGGCAAAGGTCAAGTGGCAGCAAATGCGAAAACTTTGCAGCCCTCTCACAAAGGGCAGGGCCACACATGAGCCGAGATCTTTGCATGTTTCATGCGGCTACTGCATTTCAAATTACTCACTAAATTGCATTCAAATTGCGGCTGCTGACCATTGCCCATTGAATTGCTTAAAACTAAAAAAAAAAATAAAATGGGAGAGCACACACTCGCACCAACAGACGGAAAATTTCTTTGGTCCGTCAAGTTTTTTAACGAGAAAACTTTTACGTCCCGGGTTCTGGTTTCGTTTTGGTTTCACAGACACACACCGACAGACAGAGCGCCGAGTAAAAAGTTAATTAAATTTCATGTTTGCATACCGGAAGAAACAGCAGCAGCAGGCCAAATGAACAATGTAAATGTCAGTCGAGGGCATCGGAGTGTTCTGGGTGTTCTGGGCCCTGTAATTGATATAAAATTTCCCTGGCTCTGGCTCACATTATTTATCTGGCCGGCACAATAACAACCGCATTGCTTGGGGCTACGACACAGAAATCAGTGCGAATATTTTTTGGCCACGGGTATTGGATTTCGGATTTTATCTATGACACGGATGCATTCATTTGAAACGATTGCTGTTGCAACTTCACCAGCATATCAGTCCGTTTTGCGGTTGAGGTTTGTTTTACCGAATCACCGAGTCCCGCTCGGCAAAAAACACTGCCCTCGGGCCGGGCGAACGGCTCTGGCCGGGAATTACACCATCATTTCAAATTCTTTGACAATTTAAGGTCAATTTAGCCGGCTGAGATAGCAACGAAAAGGAGAGCGCAAGGCAGTGAAAGTAAAAAGTCAATTTGCATTTGAAGCCAACAAATTGAATTTTCTTTTATCCAACTAACACTTTGGTTTTATGGAGATCCAGCCCAAGGAGCTGCCGGCAAAAAGGGACACATCATGCCCGGCTGGGTAAGGAGCGGGGTATAAGGGCAAGGGCAATAGACTGGATAATGGTGTTGCCAAAAAGTGATTTTCGCATTTCCGGCTCAGCTAATTTGTATGCTAAACACTTGCGCATGTGTGCCAAAACCTCATGTGTGCGTGTGCACTGGGAATAAAAATCACCATTAGCTCGTTAGATTCAACTTGAAATTAAAATGAATGTGCAATTTTAAAAGCACTTCAAATAACCAGTTTTTCCCTAAGAAAATTTTGTGTAATTGTTAAGGTAATTTTAACAGTTTCAAGGTTTTTGTAACATGAAATAAATGTTTCCCTTTTGAACCAATTTTGGGAGGCAATTACCTTTTTTTTTAATTTTAATTCAATACATAATTTTTTGAGTGTTTTCTTTAAGGAGCCAGGAATGGGCAAGGGGCGTGGCAGCCAACAGGTATCCATCTGGAGCCAAAAATATTCGCCGTGCTGAATTTCGTATGCGCGGCCACATTTGCGTTAATCTAACGACAAGTTTAAGCATAAAGGATTTCTATTCATGCCCGGCAGGGATTCGGCGATCCGTCTCTTTCTCGCCCCGATTCGCCGTCTCTCTCTGCATAACCATTATTTGCAGTCGTTTGGCCTTCATCCATTGCCATTTCCATTTCCATGTCCCCGTCGTGGTCGTGGTCCAATCGGCCTTTGTTTGTTTGAAGTTGAATTTGGGTGTGCGTAGTCCTTCCGGTTCCCTTGCTCCTTTTCTCCCCATTCAGCTGGCCATAACCATTATCGGCAGCACCTATCCGCCCCCGCCTCTGACCACCCCTTTGCAGTTTTTCCTGCCAGTTTTTCCCAACAGTTTTCCCACCCCCCTTTGGTGTCGCGCTGCTTGGCTGATTTTGTGCCTTTGCCATGTAATTTGTATTTATTGCATCGTTTTGTCTGTGCAAACGGCTAGAACTCCCTTTGCATGCTGTCGATTTTTGCACCACCCGCTTTGCCCAGCCCCAAATCACCCCGAAATCACCCCCAAATCACCCGCCTTGACCCAGCGCCACCCGTTGGCGAATGAATGAATTCGATTCCGAGTCTTTGGCAATGGATTTTATGTTGAGGCTTTGCCCTTTGCCAGCCTGCCGCTTGATTTCTGGGCCATATTCGGATGCAGAGCCAAAGTCGGGGTAATAGGCTCGTAGTTTTCGGTCAATTTGTTATGTTAACAGGGGCGGAGAGGCGGGGGAAGAGATGCTTGTTTGCTTTGTTGCTGGTTAAAATGTCAGTTCCTTTGGTTTTGGTTCATTTACTCAAGTTTCTAGGTCACCGAAATGGGCAGCACAATGGAGCCAAATCGTTGTTAATGCCCCGAAAAACATCAAGTCTGCTTAGCTGCAAACTTATGTAATAATCTTTTAAACTTTTCCCGGGTAACTCGGCTGATTTATATTTATTATCCGAATGGGAGAGCTTTTCGCATTTCGCTTTTCGCGCCGAAAGAAGGCATTCACACCCACGGTGGCCACGCACACATGAATGCCGAATGAATGAATATATTTTTTTCTGCATCATTGAACGACAAACTAGATTTGGTTTTATGAGATTCGCTTTCTGTTCAGCTCATCTCATCTCCTGGGCTTGAGCTTTTCATTCCCT